TTTTTTTGGGTTTTTTTTTTTTGGTTTTTTTAACCCCCCCCCCCCCCCCATTAGCTTTTCTGTAATTAGCACTGTTACCTGGGAAGACACACTAATCCACAGTCTTTCTGTTGTCTTACTGATTTTCCTACTGGGCAACTTTAATGCACCTGCATGTATAAAATGGACTTGTGCATTTCAGATGTCTGATTTCATGTGTCCAAGCCACTGCCCAACGGACACTGCACATAGGAAACCACTATGAGATGGCAGAGTGCAGTAAGGGTTGACAAATGTCATAATCCCAGGTTTCTCCTGTTACCAATCCTGATTTCTTATGTAACCCATTTGGTTCCTTTCTCACATATCTAGGCACAAAAAACAATTCTTCCATATTTATTTCAGTCATTCAATCAGACATTTACTAGAGGCCTTCAGTGTATCAAGGCACTGTGAAAGGCTCAGGGGATAGTGAGATAAATAAAATGTAGTGCCAAGGAGCACAGTCTCCCAGAATTAATTATCCTTCAAGTTAAGCCTTGCAAATTGTACTTATTATTCTGTTAAAGATGGAAAAACTGAGGTGTATGGAAGTTTGAAAGCTGATGCAGTATTTCAAAGAAAAAGTATTAATTTCCATTGAAAGTTAAATTTTGAAGTGTCTTCTTTTGCTATAGTGCAAGCCTGTTTGCATATTTTTCCATTATGTGTTTGAATGAAATGGCAACAAGCAGTTCTTGAGAACTGGTAAGATACTAAGTAGATTGTTAAAATTGTAAGATATGTAACATATATGTAAGAATGTAAAATTTGGAAGAAAGACTATTTTTGTTAGGAAATAACAGGGTAAATTATTCCAGGCACTTCAAAAAACTTATCAGAAGATACTCCGGGAAAAAGAAAGTGCTTTAGAAGCAAAATACCAAGCAATGGAGAGAGCAGCTACATTTGAACATGACAGAGATAAAGTTAAAAGGCAATTCAAGGTAAATTCCTTACATTTTTACCCTCAAAGTGATATGGGATAAAAACAGTATATTTTAAAAGTTCATACAATACTGCAAGGATAAATAGAAGTAAATCATATAGAATTCATGAAAATCATAAGAACTGGAATAGAGTACTTTTTAAATTTTTTTGAGTTTGGACATGGTAAACTTGAGATACTTTCAAAAAAAGTATAAAAGTGGATATTTTAATAGGAACTTTGAAAAAAAAAAAGGAAGGTGTTTCTGTATGGGAGAAAGCATTTAGTAATGTTTGAGGATGTTGTGTGTAGGAGAACATTACTGGTATATAATGAGAGGGAGACAAATTTGCTAAATATCATGCAGCACACATGACAGTCCTGTGCCATGGACACATATCCAGCCAGAATTGCAGTGGGTTCCAGTTACAAAACTGGAGGGTTAAGGTACTGGGATATTTATCTCACAAAGAAGGAGACTGAGGACAAAATTAATATTGATTTTATGAATGAAAGATTTTCTCCTTAAGAGTTGGTGACACACTTTTTGATTATGAAAAAGATTTCAAAATTAAGATTCTTCTTTTTAAAGATTTTTAGGGAAACCAAAGAAAATGAAATTCAAGACTTATTGAGAGCCAAGCGGGAGTTGGAGACCAAACTTCAGAGGCTACAGGCTCAGGGGATCCAAATATTTGATCCTGGGGAGTCTGATTCAGATGACAACTGTACAGATGTTACTGGTAAATTTCCTATTTATAATACTTTGAGCTTTCAGCATAGCTGTAAGGATATTGTAGAGCCAACTTTGAATCCTGCTAGGTGAGGGTACTTCAGAAAATTTGTGGAAAAATAGAATTAAAAGATAATACGAATTTTTTCCTGAACTTTTTGCAGACCCCTCAGATTCCTTTTACTAACCTATGTTAGGTAGGTTGTTGTTTTGACTGCTGTTACAAACCGAATTGCATGTTCTTCCTCTCTTTCTTAGCTGTTAGGGCACCTCTTCTGCATGAACTATATGAAGTCAGAGGCTGAAGTTCCTTCTGTCTTGTTGCTCTGCCAACCCTAACCCATAGCTTTTCTCTCTCTGGTCTAAGATAGCTGCTCCAGGTCCTACCATCGTGTCTGCATTTTAGCCAAGAAGGAGAAGGAAGGGAAGAACACATTCCTTTCCTCGAAGGTACAACCTGAGAGATATACAGATCACTTCTGCTCAAATCCCATTCGCCAGAACTATACCTAAGAAGACTGGAAGGTGTAATCTATAGCAAGGCAGACATGTTTTCAACTAACATGTGGGATTCAGTTACTAAAGGAAGAAAGGGGGAATGGATATTGGAGTTAGTAATGTCTGCAACATTATTTTTCCACATAATGATGTATTCTTGGCAACTGTCATTTAGAATTACCTGCATTATGTTTTCCTGAGTGGTTTCCAATGTACTTCTGTGAACGATTCAAAAAGTTTGTTTTATAATTAAACATATAAAATACGTTTTTCTACAAATAAAGAAAAGCCTTAAATCAAAAAATGAAAGGATTCATTGTAGTCACGATAGTAATTGTGACTGATACTGAAAAAAGAAAAAGATTCTATTCTAAATGCAGTGGGAAAATTTAGTCACTCTCGTTTATAAGGAACTGTTATTATATTCTTACAGACTAATTCACTTTGGAGAAAATATGATAACTGACAATCTCTTCTTAATTTTAATTTAAAATCATTGGACCAAAATACTGGGACTTTTAGTACTAACTTTTGAGGAAAACATGAAGAGATTCTTAGTGGCCAAAAGTGACTGAGAAAATGCTTTTATGCCCTCACATTGGTGTTAGTGATTATTTCAGTATCGACATGGTCAAATGTACAGTTTTCCAAAACTATCGTGATTGCCTTGGCAACTTAACAGAAACAAGTTAACATTCCCTTCTAGTTCTTTCTTGTTCATGTATTGGTTTAAACGTGAAGAAGGAATGCTTGCAGGAATGTCACCCATTTGAGATGCAGAGAGCTACAAATAGGAAGCTCAGTTTTGCTAGAGATTTAGCCCAAATAACAGTTCATTGTAGTCAGTCAAGGATGCCATGTAGATATTCTGGCAAACATAATTCATTATAAAATCATCAACATGTTTGTAAATAACTATTGATTCGGACATTAATTTTGTTGCTCCAGGAGGTTAAGAAGGATGTATTCCCTGCTGTAAAGAGCTTACATTCTGATGAATTACAAATATTAATTACTAGTGTGTTAGTAACAGTCTGCCTTTGAAGTTCTTTCCTCCAGATTTTAATCAATACCTAAGCTTATACAGTTAGGAATGGTTTTTAGAATTTTCTGTGTGTATTTTTAACTACCCTTTTATTAAAATTTCTTTGTTTATTGTATTCTTACTTCTTTTCATCTTTCTCTTTTTAATCCCCTCTTTGAATTTGAGATGATAACCAGAATTATGTCCCCAAAAGAACTTTGCCAAAAGTTGGTGGCAAAGTAGCTTCAAAACCATTGTTTGAATATTTACTGTGTTTACAATATTGCAGTATTTTTTAAAAAAAAATTAGAAGTCCTGTTTAGTATATGTCATGAGTTTTTGAACATTCAGTAATTTGGTTTTCACAAGAGAAAAATCTCTTGCTTTAACAGCTTCTGGAACCCAGTGTGAATATTGGACTGGTGGAGCCTTGGGAAGTGAGCCTTCCATAGGGAGTATGATCCAACTGCAGCAGTCCTTCAGAGGCCCTGAGTTTGCACACAGTTCTATAGATGTGGAAGGACCCTTTGCAAACGTTAACAGAGGTAACATATACTGTGTACCAGTTACTTGCCTAGTGGCAGTGACTGTTCATGTTCTGTAGTCTTGTGCTAGAAGAGCAGTCATCAGCAGAGCATGATATTTGGGTTCGGGTGGCTTTCATTGACAAACCGTCATGCACTGGTGCTGTAACTAACCAGGGTGATGAGGTTACATAACTCATATTGGGATCAGATGATGCTCCAGCCAACCGGGCCAGCCAGGTTCTCATAACTGTGCTTCTGGTCTAAATTCTCAGGTGAGCAGTTAAGTGTCTAATGTAGATTAACTGAGAAACAGTAGGTTTTAGTCTTTCCCTCTGCTTCTGTGATGGTGTTGAAGGTGAGAGCAGGTTATGAAGCAAGATGCAAAAAGCCCTATGAGGTGATGTAATATTCTTAATCAAAAGAATATTTTCATTATTTTTATAGAATCTTATGTCTAAAACAGCTCTAGGATCTGTTCAGAATTTCAATATCAGTGCAGACCTACCTAACAAGTTACAAATAGCTCTACTCTTTTTTCTTAAAACTATAGAATTATTTCTCTATCAGCAAAATGAAAATCATTTTTTAAATTGTGCTTTTTGAATTAGCCAAATATGTCTTAAAATTTTCATTTTTACTAAATAATGTAAGACTCTTTCATTATTTAAATAGTTTAAATATGCCATTCTTGAACTTTCTTTTCCTTTTTTCTTTTTTTTTTAAAAAGATGACCGGTAAGGGGATCTTAACCCTTGACTTGGTGTTGTCAGAACCACGCTCTCCCAAGTGAGCCACGGGCCAGCCCTCATTCTTGAACTTTCTTTTCCTTTTTTCTTTTTTTTTTAAAAAGATGACCGGTAAGGGGATCTTAACCCTTGACTTGGTGTTGTCAGAACCACGCTCTCCCAAGTGAGCCACGGGCCAGCCCTCATTCTTGAACTTTCTTTTCCTTTTTTCTTTTTTTTTTAAAAAGATGACCGGTAAGGGGATCTTAACCCTTGACTTGGTGTTGTCAGAACCACGCTCTCCCAAGTGAGCCATGGGCCAGCCCTCATTCTTGAACTTTCTTTTGACTCAGTATATTTCAGGAATAATAAGAAGGTAGAACTATGGGTCAGCCTCAGGATGTAGGCTCCCCTCAACTAGCAAACTAACTAAACAGTTCGTGTAAAGTAGTCCCGTGACATTTGACTGGAACCACTGGTACCCCATTCATTGCTTGAAGCCCCAGGATAGAATTTGAGGTTAGAGAACTAATTGCCTTCTAATATGTTATTTTAGAAGCTATGTCAGTATTAAGATGTGAGGTCAGATTCTATTCTATGATGCCTATTGTGTTTTTTCAGACTTTTTGGAATCATGTCATATGTGTTCTGGTACTTTTTTCATGGACATATGAGAAATTTTATTTTCAGATGACTGGGATGTTGCTGTTGCTAGTTTACTGCAAGTCACTCCCTTGTTTTCCCATTCTCTGTGGAGTAACACTGTCAAATGTTACCTCATTCATACAGATGAGACTCAGCCCGAAATGGATCTTTTCCTTAAGGTGAGGCTATTCATAAATTCTATATTCACCAATTTAAAATACAAGTTAATATTATATTTATCACACTGCTGTATCTAAACCAAATAGTTTACTGCCTACTAGATTATATGTCTTAAACAACAGGAAACATCTTGGGCTTTTCTTAAGATAAAATCTTATTCAGTATTGCATTATATACAAAGAAGGGTAGATGGTGAATCGAGGCTTTTTCTTTTTTTTTAATTTCTGGGAGTAACTTTCCATGAGTAACTTTCTTAGGACAGGAGCTGAGACAGTAAAAGAAGGTTCTAACTGGTTGTAGTTTTGAATATCAACTTAAGGTGTTGGAACCTTATGTTTTTTGAATATTTTATCACATATAATCTACAGTATTTAAGACCCTTGTTCATCGTGCCTACTTTATGCACTGTCTGCAAGCTCTATCCTCGAATTTGTTTCAGGTAGTAACAAAACATAATCCTTTCATGTTTTTTAGTTTTTAAGGCAGCCATTGAAGTTATTCTAATGCCGGGATTGGCAAATGGTAGCCTGTTGGCTAACATGGTCTGTTGCCTGTTATTGTGTGGTTCAGGGCTAAGACTGGTTTTCACATTTTAAATAGTTGAAAAAAAAATAAAGAATATTTTGTGACGTGTGAAAATTATATGAAATGGAAATTTTAGTGTTTATAAATAAAATTTTATTGGAGTATTGCCACATGCATTTGTTTATGTATCAACTGTAGCTGCATTACAATGGCACTTTAGTGGCAGAGTGAATTGTGACAGAAACTGAATAGACTGCAAAGACCCCTGCTGAAATGGCCAAGTTGTTAAGCTATTATTATTCTTTTAAAAGTATTTGCCATCTGACCCTTAACAGAAAAAGTTTGCTTGCAACTGTTCCAAGTGAATTTTAAATAAATCTCCATGTCTCATGTGTACCTGCTACATTAACATCCTCCAGATTGTTGATTAATGAATTCATTTAGCTTTCCATTGTGACATTACTCAATTTTGCTTAATAGATAGCATA